AAATCTTTTGACCCCTAAAACCCTCAAAACTAAACTCTAATACAACATAATTAACCCAAACATAAATGATATAATGAATAAATAATTTTGAAAAAGTGGCATTTTTGCAAAGATTGTAAAAATATGGCATTTTTGTAAAGTACTACTTGAAAAGTGGCATTTTTTGAAATTTCTCTTTTATTTTCTCATAGTTCAAACGTTATACTCCCTTCGTTTATCTATATGTACTATGTTTTGGAAGTTTTTGTTTAGCAAAAAAAAAAAATCTTTTGGAAGTTTTTTTTGTTTCATAATATAAGATTTTCTTAAAGTTGTAGCTTTTTATTTTATTGAATATTTTGTGACCAATAGTATTATGCATATCTTTTGACGATTGTGTAATTTGTTTTTGTTTATGTACTTACATAATATATTTTAAAAAAAGAAAAGTAATGTTTTAATATGTGTGTTTTTAGCCAAAACATCTTATTTAGAGTAACCGAGGGAGTAGTAGATAGTTAACTTTATAATGCTAGATTCAGAAGTTGTTCAGTTTTATTTGTAAACTTTCTGCGATTTGGACTTTCATTTTGGTGGTTAATTTAAATAAATTTACGGTTGAAACAAAAATTACAATTGCCAATCAACAAAAGATTCGACTCTTCTCCACGTGTCATAACCCAAGATTTGAGGCTAATCATATCAAAACACCTTATACTAATTTATGTTAAACTATATGTGTCAAAAGAAGAAAATGTGAGAACGTACCAGACAACCTAGGGAGGATAGGACGGAGTATAATGTGGTTGAGGAAGATCTGCATTTCTTTACCTAACCAGACAATTTATAGACCGATGATATTATTTCAATTTTAATAATCGACTAGACCATTAATTATGTGGCAAAACTGGAAGCATAACAAACGATGACTCATCAACTTTGTGGCAAAAAAATTACGCATAATATGACAACCAAATTTATATAAAAAACATGACAACTCAGAATCACACATTTGGCCATAACAATCGGAAAAATAGAAACAATAGAAAATCTTATTATTGTTGAAGTTTTGTTGGTTGACGTAACATACGTTACAAACCCCTATGATATAAATAGAGCTCGTAAAATAAAAAAACCAGTAGAGACAACACAAAGCTTAGAGACGTACAACACAAAAATGGCGATAATGATGATCAAGAATCATGTAAGATCGATAAGCTTACCTTCAAGAACTCATCCTAGCACAGCAGCGATCGAGGATTCGCTCGATAAACTTCTTATCACTATGAGCACGAAGACAATGACGTCATCAGAACCGGTATACTCCGGTTTAGAAGGTTTAGAGGATCTCTACGAGTGTACGGAGGAGTTTCTGAAGATGGGTTCAACGCAACGTGTCTTGTCGTCTAATGACGAGAGAAGGAAGATGAAAGAAGAGTTTATGGAGGAAATGCTTGATGGTTCGTTGAAGCTAATGGATATATGCAACGTATCTAGGGATCTCATGGTTGAGACTCATGAGCACGTTCTTGGTCTTCAGTCTTGTGTAAGGAGAAGGAAAGATGTCGATTTCTCGGGCTATGTCGGGTTTAGGAAGAACATGAGGAAAGAAGTGAAGAAGCTTCTTGGATCCTTGAAGAACATTAATGTAGGGTTAGTGCATGGTCGTTATCAAGACTGTGATGTTCATTTCTTGGCCGTGATTCATGCAATGAGACGTGTTATTTCGATGACCATTTCGGTCTTGAAGTCATTCTTGGAGTTCTTGTCGGGACGACAGAACGGCAACGACATGAGGAGCAAGTTGGCTTTGGTCCTCATGAACAAGAAATTTCATGATCACGATAAGGTGGTCAAACACGAGTTGGAGGATGTAGACTCAGCAATTTTTAGAGATTCTTGCTCGCATGAGGATCTGAATAAGAAGCTTGAGGAGCTTGAGATATGGATTGGAAGGTTCGAGAAGAATCTAGAAGGATTGTTTCGAGGGTTGATTAGAACACGAGCCTCGCTTCTCAACATAATCTCTCAATAGATTTATATGTAATATCGTAGTCTTCGATCGTGGGCATTCGATTTTAGATGATTTGCCGGAGGGATCCAAACATGAAGTTTTGTAAACACTAGTTTAACTCATTATATATAAAGATTTTTTTATTTACTAAAAAGAAAAAAAAATCGCAAGTACACGTTTTGGTATCACTTGGTGGTGTATTCAATTACAGATGGTCAAGGTGTACCAATCTAGCTCCCCA